CACGTTTGATGATGAGCTATACACCAAGGGATAGCTCTCCCCTTCCCAAATCCCTCCCTACCCTTCCCGAGATTTGAACTTAGACCTCCAATGTGGAGGTTCAAGCTCTTAACAATTGAGATGTTCCCCCCAGGGGACACATCAGCTTTGTTAGTTGCAAAACTGTAAGACAGCCTTGTATTTCTAGGTTCTTCAATTGTAGCTTCAAGAATTTCTCAATATTGATTTTGATTCAGGTGACAAGGTCAAAGATCTTTCAGAACTTCAATTTGAGGCAAGATCTTCAAGAGATAATGCATGGTAAGATTCATGACCATGCTTCTTGAATCAAGGAATTATGAATTCTCAATACATAATTAACTTGCCTCTTAAATGTGATAGATGCTTACGTAATCATTGATTTGGTAACTTATGGTGGATTGTATTTGGATTCTCTTCTTGTTTCAAGAATGGTAATTGGTAAGATGATATGTAAAGGAGGGAAAATATCAAACTTCAGTTATAACTAAGACTCACATTCACTATCTTTACCATATGGTTCCTTGTAGTCATTTTGAAGATGATTTACATTTTGGTCAATATGCTGCATAATTTACTTCAGCATTATATTTTGTATTTCTGCCCCATCTTTTTAGCTTTCAAAAATGACATCATGATGACTTATGCTAACATAATCCTAAAGATACTCATGTTTCTTCTGGATTTATAGAGTAGAAACTATAGAGGTTAGAAACAGAACAAAAAAAAAAAACAAAGAAAATGATTTGAGCAGCGTGCAAATGAACCAGAGACAGTTCATCTTAATATTATCTGGTTTTGGCAATAGATAATTTGGACTATAGTATGGATCATTATGTTATTTGCTTGAGCTGGAAAATCTGCTACCATCCATACTTGCTTAATCTCTGCTAAATTCTAATTTAATTCTTATTTAACTTCAAGTTTTTTGAATCTATTATTCTTATTCTTTTCAATTTACTTGTAAAAAGAGAAAGCCACCATAAAAATCTGTTGTAAAATACTGAAATCACTACAGTAAGTGAATGCAGCTAATATTTATTTGCTTCCAGGTATGATGTTGCCTCATTCCTTACGTATAGAGTTCTTTGTACTGGTGAACTTGTAAGATTCTTCCACATTGATTTCATCCCTTTTTTACCTTCAAAGCAAAGATTATAAGTTTGTTTTTAGAACTTTCATGAAGAAAAATTGAAGTTGTTACTTATAAGTACACCAAACTTAGTGATGTTTATTTTCAATGCTTTGTAGCAGTAAGTTTTGTTTATTTTGCTTCTGATATTATTGAAGAATTTTATTAAACCTAAGTTAGAAATTTTTCAAATTTTTAATTTTTTTGTATTGGCTAAGAAGCTAGTGCGTAGCTATTGTAGAGGTTGGGACCTCAAACATTAATATTCCAGAATTAGGTTTTAAAGTTAGTGGGCACCAAAAATTATTAAATTGTAGCTAGTTTTGAGCTCTAATTGGTTTTTATCTAGTTTGAACCTGGAATACTTTTACTGGGACCAGCTCCTTTGAGCAAAATTCATCAAGTGAAGCTTGCTGCTATTGAACGAATTAACTTACAGTGATGATATGTAAAAATTTGGTGCCTGTATCTCTATTACTTATCTGAGGGACTTTAACTCTAGAAGATAAAGATTCAGTTACTGAGTTTTGTATGGAGAGACTTGGCAAACACCATCATATCTCTTCAATTTTGAAAATAAATTTTGAAGAAGAAGGTAGTCACTCACCATTATCAAAGGGACATTTGCCATCCCTCCCCTCTTGTTTTTTGATAGCAAGGGAGAATCAGATTTTTTACCTTTTCTTGATAGAAGTGGTTGTGGCTACCACTAAGGAGTGCCTTCACTATGGATTTTCTTGCCCTAAATTTCTGATTCCCAAAGCATTTCCATGTACAATGCTTCTTACTATGCAATGATTGAACTATTGATTCACATGACTTCTCTTTCTTAGATGAGTAATTGTTCATTGTATAATATCCAAACCCCATGAATTGTTATACATCATAGGAAGCACGCGTGCGATTTGCTGGTTTTGGTAATGCACATGATGAGTGGGTGAGTGTAAGAACTGCTGTTCGTGAGCGATCTATTCCTCTAGAGCCTTCAGAATGTGATAGGGTCAAGGTTGGAGACATTGTCATGTGCTTCCAGGTATTTCTTTTGTTCAATGTCTCAAGAAATTATCACAAAAGTATATGAATAAGGACAAAACTAATGGAGAATCAGCCTTTCGGAGCTAAATACATTTCATTGTTAGACTAGCTTGAAACTTGCCCATGTATATATTATTGCCTTAGCTCACAGCATTTGTGGTGATTTACAGGACAGAGGGTATCAAGCTGTCTACCGTGATGCCCATATTGTGGAAATTCAAAGGCAGTCACATGATAATACAAGATGCACATGCATTTTTGTAGTTCAATATTACCATGACAACAGTGAGGTAAATGAATTAAAATAAGGTAAATTACAAAACTTCCTCCAAATTTATATTACGTTTACCCCAAATCATAAATCTTGTGCTTTTAGTGTTACAAGAATACAAGTGGGTAAGTGTATTTTTTCAGACTTTGGAGGTATTTTTGTAAGTTACCCTGTTAATGAATTTGTTTCTTGCTTTACTAAACTGTATATTGATGTTGGCTTGTCTTTTTTCTCATGCCTTCCCCAGGAAAATGTTCGTCTGGAAAGGATATGTTGCAGACCTTTAGAATAGCCTTTCAGATTTCCCATTAATTCAATCGTTTAGGTTATGAATGACATGTATGTCATTTCATTTTTTCTTTTTTGTGGGACAGTTGGAAGACTGGAAGCAGTGATGACCATGGAAATATTAATTAGAAAACAAGAAATTACATTCCTGTTTGCAACTTTCTCTTATGGGGGAAATAGGGTGATTTACAAGGGTAAGCGTGTGGGTGTTGGGGTTGCCTGGATTCAATCCCAGGAAATGGAGGCCAAGCTTGGACCATTTAGCCAACAAGGCTTGTCCATTCCAATTTGCAACGACGTGAATTTGCAGCTGTATCCATCCTCTATTTCATTCCATCCACAGCCCCTTTCTGACATAAGTCATCTCTCTGAGAGCTGAGATTTGTTCAGATATTTGTAATTTGTTGCGATTGTAGTTGTAGGGCTTTATCTATTATCATCCGCAAAGGACAGTGATATAGACGGGAAAATTTAAAACTAATAATATAACATAAGTTATATAATTAAATAAGCTAATATATATAATATCACAAATTTTATTTATCTTTTAATATTTTAAAATTTATATTAGGACTCATATTATAACATTAATATTAAATTTTAGTTTTATAAAATTAATTTCTTGTATCATTATTTATCTTAAAAATATATAAAATATTAATTAAAATTAATAAAAATGCATAATTAATTAATTAAAATTAACTATAAATTTACTTTAGCAAATAGAATAAGCAAGCCGTAGAGTTGGAAGTTTAGACCCCGCTGTCTGCAAGGCAATGTGCACATGCCAGCAATCGTCATTCCCGTTAAAATGGAGCAAAAGAGATGATATACCACTTGCAAAGCACAGGGATAATGATGTTGAAAAACAATGACATTTACTAAACTGTACAGAATAGATACCCAACATTTTGGGTTCCAGAAAAAGAAATACTCTTCACATAGTGCAAGGACTGAACATAAAGGTTCAACTAAAAGCTTCTATACTTTGGTTACTGTTAATTAAATGCATGTACCATTCAAAATTTCCCTAAGCCTACACAGTGCCCCCAACAAAGCAACGGCTGGACAGGGTAGAGTAGGCAGGCCAGCAATACCCTCTGCTTTGAGGAAATGCCATGCAAAAGTACGAGTAGCTCATGAAACTGTTCGACCATAACAAATTGATGCGATATAGAGATTTTTTGCCCATTTCTCCTGCAAGATAATCAAGAAAATTAGACACCGAAGAAATTGAAAATTGTTTAATGAAACAGAAACTGAAAGCTTTTGTGGTGATCTACCTTCACGTGCACACTGGGAAAAGCTGAAGTTCTAAGCGTCTCCTGTGTTTCATCTACAGGCTTCCTTCTTGGCACACTAAGAATAAGAGCAGCCTGATCAGGAGTTGCTGCGGTAGCTGTGATGCGGTAGCCATTGTCCCATCGACGATGAATGCCTTCACTAGGATAAAGGAAGTCCAGTTCAACAACCTGAAACAAAAATATGAAATCAATCAGTTGTCAATGCATATTCCAAAAATTATTGGGATAATATTATTGAACCCAGGATCACCTGATCAGAAAATGCTGCACCACGAGACATAACAACCCCCCATCTGCTACCAGAAGTGGCCATAGAGGTGACAAAGAAGCCCTCCCTCCATTTCTTATTAATCCATTTGAAAGGAAATGAATCACTAACTTTGTATGACTGCTGCAAGTACGGCGTAGCTGGATCAAATGAACCAAAAGTGAATCCAAAGGAATTTAAATAAATTTATGCCTGTAAGATCAAAACTTAAGATGCCATAATATACTAACGTTTAGACATTACTACTAAGGAGCTTCCATTTAGAGCACCCGCTATCGAACTGATGTAAAAGCCCTTTTCCCATTGCTCCATTATCCATTCCTTCAAAAATAACATAACATGGCCAATTAGTTCTATTGTAAATTAAATCACTTTGTATTTTGAAGCATCTTTATTGGCATTCAGCAGGAAAAGATGAGAAAAAAAATACATCATGCCAAAAAGTAGAAATCTGCTTCAGGTTAACCATTGCAAAAGCATGTACCTTGTGAAGAAAGCAAGGAGAGTGTTCATAGACTTGTGAAGCGAAACCAGTGCCCGCATCCATAATAAGAGCCCATAGACTTTGGCAAGAAGCTACACAGCTAATAAATAAGCCATCCTCATACCCTTTCTCAATGTGCTGCTCAAGCCTTGCATCTGCAACATTATAGTGATACCTACAACAACAACAAAAAAAAGACTCACCCTCAGCCAATTGTATTCTCAAGGCAGAAAAAAATTAATAGTAAAGCAACTCAACTAGATGAGCAAAGAAGGCTTAAAACCAAAATTAAAGCAAACAAACAATCCAAGGCATTGTTACCTTTGCTTCATGGGTCTATGAGCATTGTAAACACTAATCCATTGGGTTGCTGGCATGCCCATACGAATTTTCTTCTTTGGTTGTTCATCTTCTTCCTCCTCGTCTGCTGGTAAGCGGCCTCTCTTATGACCAACTTGATAAATAAGCTTCACGAGAAAATAGATAAAACTTTAGTCGTCATAATTACCTTCCATTTTTTTTATGAATACACAAAAAAATAGACTTCCACTCACCAACTACTTTCCATCTCAAGAATAAAAATCATTAATATGCCATATATATATATATATAAAGAAAAAAAAAAGCACATACCTTTTGAGCACCTTCAGTGTCGATGGGCCGGATATCTGGATTTAGACCAACAATCCCATCAAAAAGTGAAATGTATTTTCCGTAATTAGGTTTTTCATCATACTTCAGGTTCACAACATATTCAACAAACTGTCTGAAAGGCTGAGGACAGAAGCAACACAACGACTCCGGAGATGTTGCCATCTTCTTCTTGCAAACCAGAAATCCTTTATTCTCTCCCTACACCACCATCATGTTAGAAAACAATACACAAGGCGATGTTCAAACCATTATAAAAAATTAAGAAAGTTTATTTTATTGTTGGGAACTTGGGATGGCTTTTTGCACTTATTTACTTTTAGGCAAATTACCAACCTGGTATCCTTGCCATGGCAAACGACCTCGAAGAAGGAAAATGAGTGTATAAGCAAGAGATTCTAGATCATCTCTCCTGCCACCAGTTCTCCCTAAATGTGCATGCACACTGGCATAGCGCACTGTTCCCCTGAAAGACAGAAAACTCATTTTAAATAAGATACAAGAAAGAACTTGTATTAACTCATAATTCTCTTGATATGATCAAAGGAAATACCTGAAAACATCTGGTCTCTGATCATATTCAACATGTGTGCCAGAACCATCGCGCCACTTGGTAGCTGATTTCCAAAACGGATGAGTTAGGCTAAACCCAATGTACAGTAACTGCTTAACATTAACAACGAACATTATGTAATCTGTATTACCTAATCCAAGATCAACAAGAAACAATTTCTTCTCATCAGGAGTTCCTGGAGGACCAAGGAGAAAATTCTCAGGCTTTACATCCCCATGCACATATCTGTTGAGCAGCAATGAAATCATTAATAAGCTAGAGGAAAGAAGAAAACATGATCCAGTTGCAAAATCATCTCTCGTAAACCATATTGAATAAGTAAAAGAGCATTTTCTTTGGTTCCATTCCCATATCAAACATTTTTAGCAGTTCAACATTCAATGATCTAAGAAGGTAGAATATATGTTGATTCAATTAATCATCCAGAAACCCTTTTTTTGGATGCATCGATCATGGATTGACAAATTATCAAATTGCAACACCAGTACAAAAAGGATTAAGAGAGCAACACTTTTGAGACCAAGACCATCCATAAACAAATTAATAGCTTACCCTTTGGAGTGCATCTTCTCCAATATGGATATTGCTTCGATGGCAATGCAAGCAACCATCTCAACAGACATTCTGTATCAAGAACAGTGCAATTAAGTAAACAAATGCATGAAAATATAAAATAGCAGGTAGTAAAATGCTAGATATATTTTAACTGAACTTACGTGTGAGAATTATTGTTCCAAACATCCCATAAACTTGGCCCCAGCATATCCATAACCTGCATGCATTAAGAATTTTAGTTGGCCATTTAAAAGCAATGCAAATTTAAAGAGGAATTAAAAGTTCTTAAACTAAAAAGAAAGGGCACTATACAGGATAAGATTGCGTACCATGATATAATAGTCACCTTGCCGTCCCTTGAAGTGTACTCGTGGTATCCCATGACTACCACCAAGGGTGCTACAGAATTGGCAAAGTATAAGTAGGGGATGAACAAATATAACACAAATAAAAAATCTGAGGAACTAAGAAGCATAATATCCTTACCTGTAAACTTGCCACTCACAAGGAGGTCCATAGTTACATCCTTTGCTACTTCTATGCTCAAATTTCAAAGCAACCTATAATATTGCAACATGGAGTGTAAAGATCATAATTTAAATTATATTTTCTTCCAGTCGGGAAGATAGTATGAACCTATGAACCAATTTAGAAATTGTGAAATTCCCAAACCTCTACAGCACCAGGGCCAGTTCTAATTCCATCGCCATCTACAGAAACACGCCGGCCAACATACACCTGTCCAAAGCCACCCTTGCCAAGCTTCCTTTCAAGTTTGTATAAAGGGGAACCCCCAACCTGAACCTGAAGAGAGGAAGTCAGTGAGAAATAACCACTTCTCACTTATGGCCTGCAATGTACAAGGTAATGACAAATATGGAGACAATGAAACAACTCAAAGCCCAAAATGAAACACAAATGCATATCTTGGACAGAAAAATTTATCTCAGAAGGGGGAAGGGACCTACCCCCATATTCAAACAGCAAATTTACAACAGGCAACATTTAAAAATCCACAGCTTTTAAAGAACAAAACATTCTCTTTTAAAAGAAAAAGCTCTCAAGACCACCAATAAACGCCAACACTCCCCCACACTACCTTCCACACACCATCAAACAAAAGAATTACATCTAAGTTTGAAAAGGGACACTAATTCCGATATTCACATGCCAATATCAGAATTAATCAATAAAACCAACCAATTAAAATCGCACATACAGTCAGTATAATGTATGATGTTTCCTACTAATGTAAATAGCTATTGTAAGAAAATCAAACCCTTTCTGGAAGTGGTGCCGTACTACCCTCATCCTCACCGGCATTGACCTTGTCTTTCCCTCCACTGTCAAACTCGTCCATGTGCCTCTCCCCTACCTCTTCCTTCTCTCTTCTCACTCCTTCCTCTAAAACCTTATTATTCTTCCGATTCTCCTCATTCAATGCCCCAGCTGCTGCCGGGACCTCTAATTTCTCACCAACCGCTTGCTGCGGCTGTTTCTTATTCTCTTCGTTTCTGTTGCCTTCGTTATTCTTTGGCACCGGAACAACTGCTGCAGCCGCCGCCGCAGCCGCTTGACGTCTCCTAGTCCTAGTGGCAATCGCCTCTCCTGCCTCAATCGGATTCGGCTGTTGGTGCTGCTGCTGCTTCTTCTTCGCTGCTACCCGGCCCCTGCGCACTCCACTACGCAGTTCCGACATCGTTCATTCTCCTCCAATTCTCATCAAGCGAAAACCTAAGACCTTTGTATTCACGTAAAATCCTCTTTACCGTCTCTTCCTCTCCTCCCTTCCCTTCACCTCCACGCAACTGCCTAATTGAACCGAAAACTGACAAAAAAAAAAAATCAAAAAGCTGCACGAAATCAGCCAGAGAAGAACCGATCAAGAAAATCAAAGAACGACAGCAAAGAACATATACGGCGACGAATGTACCAAAATCGGAACTTCAAACGCCGGGAATCGCAAAAAGCCGAAGAATTGATCGGAGAAGACAAATTCGGAGATCTGCGACTTGAGACAGAGACACAGACACAGCTTGTCTACTTGGAGAGACGGAAAGATTTTCCGAATATTTGTAGGGGGAAATTTTCTAGGAAAAAATAAGGAAAGTGGTATTGCTTGCGTGGGTAAATTTAGAGCCGTCGATGGAGATTGGATTGACGGTGGGATTGGATTTTGGGAAAAAGAGATATTTTGGGAGAAATTTATTTATGGTACGGAAACTGTGTGAAGTTACGAGAAAGGGCTTGGGATTGTGGAATATTACGGTCTGACGAAACTTAGCCCAGCTAAGAAGCGGTGCTGCAAGTGCAAGTTCTCGTGGGGTAAACCGGGCGTTGGCAGGTAGGTTTGACCCGAACCGGAAATAATTTGCATTGATACTAATAGCCCTTCAACAGTTTGCATTGAGACTAATAGCCCTTCAACAGTTTGCATTGAGACTAATAGCCCTTCAACAGTTTGCATTGAGACTAATAGCCCTTCAACATGTATTTTGTGTATTTTAATTAATAAAATTTATATTATTATTATGATAATTAATCTAAAATAAATAAAATCTCATTACGTAAGTCATGTGATTGTCTCTACTTTATTACTCTATCTTTATTAGTGTCATGCTAACATAAATATGGTCCACTTGAACCCATAGAGGAGGAAAAATCTTGTCCAAGTCTCTATTCTGTTACTCTATTCTTATCAGTGTCATGCTAACATAAATATGATTACAATTGGACCCATAGAAGTGAGAAAAGTCTAGCAAAAAATGAGACCCATGTGTACTTTGGGTAAGACTTTTCCTCTTCTTAGGTCCAACTAGACCATATTTTTATCAACATAACACTAACAAGAAGAGGGTAACAAAGTAGAGATGGCAATGTGACTCACATGATCAAATTTTGACTACTTCATGTCAATTACAACAATAATGTGAAGTTCATGAGTTAAAGTATATAAAGTGTATGTTATGAGACTAATAATTTAAAAAACAAACAATTGGAGGCTTTTATGGGAGTTATACCTGAAAACATTATGGCTTTATTTGATTTGGTTGTTAGAGATAGTTGATAATTGTAACTATTACTTCATAACTAATAAAAAAACTACTATTTTTGCTTAAGAAATTGAAATTAGCCTATAAATTAATGTTTGCAAACATCCTAACCAACTACTTAAGAAAAAAGAAAATATAAGTAGATAAAAATACATCCTATTTTCTTTTTGAAAAATTGTAAAAGAAAAGATTATTAAAGATGCCTTTGTCACTCTGTTTAGTTCAGTTTGGCTTTGAATGTCTCCAGTTTGGCTTGATTTGAGCCATTTACAACATGTTAATATGTTACATCCGAAGTAACACAAGCTTCAGTGTTAGTGGCAAATCTACAGTTCCTCTAAACCGGCTGGGCTCGTAACTTAGTAGCAAGAGACTTCTTTCACCTTCATGCATCACAATTCTTCTCATCTAATCATTTAAACAGTACAACCATCTAAATTGCACAATATATATTGTGTTTTTTTTTTTTTTTGAATAAATTTACAAAGAGTCAAATTCAAACGATTGCCTGAAAGTGGAGAAGTGCACTTTAATGTGACTTAACGTCACTAGGCCGAAGGCCCAAGTGTATATATTGTGTTTATTAACTTGTCAAACGAAGGAGAGTTGATTTCTTCGTGACCCAAAAATATGGTAGGTTTAAGGCCTTGAATTATGGAAGACGGATAACCATTTATAGATTTTATTAATTTATTTATGGGTTTTGGGCTTGCCTTTTGGCGGCCCATGCATGAAAAATGGCCGAATAAGAAGAAGCAATACATAAATAGGAGTCGGAGATAACAATCGGTTTTGGATCCGTCTTTTAAATAAGGAAAGAAAAAATGGATTAGGGTAATGGGTTTCTTCAAACAAATTGGATCCTCAGTCCAAGTTTTCTCTGGATGGGCATAAATGTTATTACTCCTCCCCAATCCAATCCTCTGAGAAATCAAGTTTTATTCAATCCATATAGTGCCTTGCATCTTTCATGGGATTTTTATAATACATGGATCTATTTTGTTAATATCAAGTAAAACTCTTAAGGATGTTGATAAAAATAATAATAATAATAATAACAACAATTAAAACTCTTTAGGGAATGGGAGGATCAAACCCATCTTGCGGTTAAGGAGGTGCACCTCATTAAGCAGTTTGAAAAGCCAAGTGCATAACGATAAATAAACTTAGACAAACGGATGCAAACAAAACTTAGACAAACGGATAAGCTATTAGGGATCAACAATGTCCTTGATGGCCATATGGGTGTCATCTCAATGCAGTTTCTGCCAATGATTTTGCCTTTCCTTTTTTTGTCTTTTTATTTTGTGGGAGTAAGTCCTTCCCAATATAATGCTTGTTTTGAAACTTAGGGAGTGTTATATGCAGTTGGGCCCTAATTGGCTCATTGGTGGCTTTATTTTATTTTATTTTATTTTGAAATCTTTTACAAAGATATATACTCAAAAAAGTGTCAAGTGTAGCTCACATTTCCTTGGAAAATCAGACAATCTCAACTTCTCAAGACATTTCCTCTTTTGTTTGAGAAAATATAGGTTCAAAACCTTGATTAATTACATTTTTGGCCAATTGCTTAATAATTACTTTGATCATTGAAGATAAAAAGTGTCTTTCCCCTAGATCTAGCCTTCTAGGACCAAGACTTCAAAGTGCTTCAATGTGGGTCATAATTGATGTTACCTCTCTTTTTCTTATTGGCTAAGACACGGCACCAAAATCTGTACCAGAAAACAATGAAACGTACGACAAACTGGCAGCATTCCAGACTTTGTTTCTTTGTTCAAAGATTTTTTTTTTTAAATTTAATTTTAAATTATAAAATAATTATTGTCATATTGGAGAGAATTTTTTAATATTGACTTTTCTTCTCTATTTAGTAATCTTAATTTTATAACTTGATACAATGTCAATTACAAAACGGAAACTCATCCTTTTTCCGCTTTTTTATTTGTCTATTAATAGCTCTTTTTTTTAATTGGCATTCCTTAAAATGTAAGAAAATATAGATTCTACTATTTCGACAAGCAGTAAAATCTAAAATGGATAAGGATTTGATGTTTAAAAATCAAAGAAAGAGACAAAAAAAATAACTAAAGTTGAAAGAAATTCCTGATCCTAATCTATTTCTGAAGCAAAGTATTAATTCTAAAAGTAGTTGATTGATTATTTTCATGCTTTTTACTTCCCTGTGTGGAGCTGTCAGTAGCTCCATAATTCAAGGTTTGGTAGTGGAGGACAAGTCTAGCACATTGCAGAATTTTCTCCCTGTTGAGGTACTCATATTGAGAAGGGAGAACCCCACCCCACCTCAGTTTCCAATATGTTCAAGTCTATTGATTGCAAATGGATATATTGAAACATAGTGGCTAAGCTTATCCTAAAAGAGTTTATCCTAAAAGTTGTTCTCATTGATCCTAATCTAAGATTGTTAATTTTTTGAGAGGATATATAGAGTAACTTATTAAATTATTGGTAAAAAAAATACTTTATTGATCACTCATGTGATCAAAATTTGAACTCACATTCTCATTCTGTGCCCCTCTTCTTCATAGGGATTTTAACTAATTAGTCTATTTCCTTAAAAAAATAATTTTTTTACTAATTTTTGTTAGTTTTTAATTTTTATGAAAAATTGAGTAATTTTTCATGCTAAAAAAAAGAATAAGTAATTTTCTATAAATGGTCTAGTTTCTAGATAACTGAATTTTTTCTAAACTAGAGAAATGAAGGTTTTTATATTTATTTAATTTTTTTACTGCATTAAAAAATAAGAAGTTATTCTCTTATATCTCTTATCGTTTGCTACCATGTTCAAGAGATTTGAATAGGGCATAACCTCTATTTTTAATAATTTAGATTAATTAATTGAGTTCATGAAATGCTTTAGGTATTGCCGCCTCCAATTCCAACAGCTCTTAGAGAGGTCACTAAGTTATTATTATTATTTTTTTATTTAATTCTACTAATCTATGCTGTTGAGCACCACATAATTAAGGAATTTGGTCTCCCCAAGTCTTGGCTTTAAAAGGAGCAAACAATCCACCCGTAGTGGCCACAAAAAGCGTCAACTTTAATTAAAGCATAAACCTTTAACATATAATATTTATCTTAATACATATACTAAAGGGGAAGACAAATGCTTTTTCTTGTTTTTCTATGCCTCTGAAATGCGTCCCAAATTATTTGACATGCATTACATTTTAATAGTGTGAAACCATCTTTTGAATCTTCTATTTTTCCAAACCTTGAAGATTAAAATTATATTTCACTTTATTGATTTGACTAATTTTCTTGAGTAGTTTATAAATTTTTAATGTAAATAAAAAAATAACATTTTAAAGAAATCTCTTTTTTAAACAAATTACAATCAAACCCACCATGGGAAATGAAAAAGGAGATTACTGGTGGCTCAGCTCAAACTTTCAACTCAGATGTTGTTCTTATAAACAACCAACTGGTAAACCACTTGTCGCATGTATGAAAAACAAATTTTAAAGAAATCTAATTGATTAAGATTCTAAAGTGCAGTATACTACTCGTACTTGTGAGTACCCTTTGATACTTTTGCAATAATATTGTTTTATACTTTCATTTTGCAGATATAAAATAATAATAATAAGAAGAAGAAATTCTACAAAATTAAATTTGTCCTTTCATTGGTATGAAGGTATATAATTATTTGTGAATTACAAATTATGACATGAATATTCTGATTTTGATGAGAAACATCGATCATGCTACCAAAAAATTTAAATACAATTTTGAAGTACCTCAACAAATCATTTATTTTAATATTTTTTATATTAAGGTATTGGACTATTGTTTATAGTAGTCAATTATTTCATTTAATGCAATAGTTAATGAATATTATTATTAATAAGTCAAACATTTTTATTTATTAAATTTGCTAAAAACATTAACTGCTATATAAAAAAAATAAAATAACTCAAATCACTAGTTT